ATAATCTGTTCCTGCTATCCTGTCTATTCTAAGTGCATAGGATGTTTGTAATAGCTCCGCTATCCTAAGTAGTTCTGCTATCCTGGATGGTTAGCCTTAGCGGGATGTTGGTCACGTAATCCAGGCCCCGCCTTTGATTATTAAGCCTTTGTCGTGGCTTCCTGATAGTCTTCCTTCATGCGACCCGCATAAAGAAGCAATTCCTTGTTACCTTGTAACAACACATCTATGACCCACTACTATCGCGTAATGCAACGACCAGAAATGAAACGATAAAGCTGTCTGAAATGATATCATCGGTACCCAGCCTTCATAGTTACGGCTCTTGGGAAGTGTCGACCTGCACCATCGATGCTTTTTGGAACAACTCTGAGGCAATCTACTTTCAAGACGGAGGCGTTGGATACAGGAATCCGTACCCCATGCCGCCCTGGAATACCAGTGCGCTGAGAACCATAGGCCTGGACTACAATGATATCGACGAGCTAAGAAGCCCCAAATTCTTACAAGAGTTGACCTCCGGAGGCTTCGAACTGCACACCGCACTCGCTCTGTCGTTCGCAGAGGCCATCTCGGACATCTCGAGCCTCTCTCGGCACGACTCGGTCTGGGGAGAAGACACGTTAAGTACGGGTGTGAATAGTATGCCTCCTTTCCATTTCACCCATACATTGTACGGTTTCGGCTATGGGAATCATTCCACATCAGTCCGCCTCTCGATGGCAGTTCTGGGCTTCTACTGTGTCATCACTGTCATTTATCTCGCCTACATGCTATTCACAGGCCGTAGCTCTACAGCCTGGAATTCTTCGATCGAGCTTGTGGCTCTCGCTCTACAGTCAAAACGACCTGACCATCTGGGGAAAGTCTCTGTGGGCATCGACAATCTTGGTACCTTCAATGAGGGGGTTGGCATACGTGCAAATGCAGACAATGAGTTGGAGCTCGTGTTTGCTCATGACCGTGACGTTGGGTCAAGGGGTCTGCGGAAGGTGCAAACGAACAAAGAATACTGAGAGCGACGACCATGGGCAACCAATGCCCCATCTAGCGAGCTGTATATGCATCATGAGCTACGCGGTGTAGCTGTGCAATCACACTTCCATATCTCTACCGCTGTCTCTTTATTGAATCAAGTTGTCAGCTAGCAGACGTTATAGTTGGCCTCTCGTCGATCGTCGTTGAAACAGCGACTCAACACAGAGGGGTCACCCCTCAGCGCTTCGCCACTGACCCTGGGGATCGTCACTCACACGGAGGAGTGTCGACCTAAGATTGTATATAATTTCATCCAAACAGGATTCTGAAGAATCTTTAGTAGCTTGCCTACTTGTAGCTAGGGTCTGTAGCGTTGGAAACATCGTAAACATGAGATGATTAACAAATCCTCTCCTACTCATCCACCGACCAAGGAAGGTTCCATCCTTCTTTCTTCTCACCTCTTCTACGCACAAATCTAAACAATCTAGAGACCGCCTGCCCATTCGCACAAGTCGAGGTATTGATCGTAACACATTGCCCGTCGTTGCAGCACAAATTCGTTACACACTTCCGGTCAGCACCACATTGCGCACTGCTCGTACACGGCACCGTTTCTGAGCAAGATATATCGAATGGGGAAACATCAGTGCATCCGACCGCGGTACCTTCGGTCGTGGCAAGGCAAGCGCAGGTTTCTGCTGAATCGCAATAGAAGCTTACGTTACATTTATCTGGTCGGATTCCTCCAGGGCATGTGGTCTGCGCTGGGGGCGGGGCACAGACTGAAGAGGTAGATGTTGTAGTGGTAGTAGTTGTTGTAGTGGAGATGACTCGGTCTAGTGTGATGGTGATGCGGGTGACGATGACCGGAGTTTGCGTGACGGTGGCGGTCACTGTAGGGACGTATGTGATGGTGGATGTTCTAGTAACAGGTACTGTCGGGCGAGAGGTGATTGTGGAGGTGCTGCAGCCGGGTGTTGTCTCGATGCAAGAGCACAGTGTCTTGACAAAGGACGCTGCTTGTTTCTGGAGAGAGCTGAAGATGGGCGCAAGTTTGTCCCCGTCAATGGTGCGCTTCTGCAAGGCTGCTACGGGACATGCTGTTGTTGTTGCTGTCTCGGTGGGTGTTTCCGTTACAGTCGTCGGCGTAGGGGTACTAGTTTGCAGATTAGCAAATGGTTTTACATGCGATTCAGGAAGCTAGAGCGCAGAGGACAGATATGGGTAGAAGATGCACATACACTGTATCAGTGGCAAGAACTGTGGTTTGCTCATTTGTAGTCACCGTTATTGTGTTGGTGACTGGTGCAACACTCGTCGTGACTAGGATCGTAGTTGTTGATGGGATAGTCGTCGTAACGAGACATGTCGGACGCGGAAGTGGGTACTTGGACGTGCAAAATGACTGAGCAGGTTTGTGCTTGGACAGCGGAGCGAATAAGGCATAGGGAATTCTGGTGCAGTCTGAAGTCGCGCTCGCTTCAAGAACAGAAAGCGAGAGCAACGAGAAGAGAAAGACAGCACTGGGGAAGGAATGCATGACTGATTAGGCGTAATCCAAAGGGATTGCAGTGGTTGACGAGCGTAACCGGTCGTTCTAATAGTTTTCTGTATTGTTATTCCACTGACTGATTGATCTAAAATATTTCTCTTTTCTAATCTCGAACATTTGGTGGCAGAGCTGGAAAGATGGCAGAACCTTACTAGGAAACAACGTTAGATCGTGGCTCTAGGAAGATCTGCAGCGAATGCATCACTCCAGGAAAAGATCTCTTGACAAGGCTGCTACATGTTGTTCAGCTGTTGGTCTGCATTGACAAGTCACTACGCCACAACAAAGCCTGACCTGCCTATATCGGTTACCCCATTTCACTCCAGCTCGAGCTAGTGGGCCGAGCTATCGAAATGTATACAGTGGCTTGCGTTTATCCAGAATAAGACTTGCTGATTGGGTTTGTGGCGTCCAGTGCGTAAGGCTTATGGGGTCCAGCCTCGCCGAGAAGACATCTGAGTAAGCTAGTATCAGGGATCATGCCTATGGCGTCGCGTTGGAAGTCAGACACAGGCTGATAGTACGAAGCCCTTCTTACATAATAACAAGGCCTCTAATGAATATTCTTAAGAGAGTCTTTCTCGCAGTACTCTAGTATATTTTTGTTAGAATTCATTAGCTGCGTCGTGGTGCGTAATTAGAAGAAGAGGCCTTATTGTGGCAGGTCCCACTTCCGGCTGTCAATGCGACGCCAGAGCATGCTTCGTGACTTGGATACGTTTTTACGTATAACTGGCAACTCCTCGGCGGATGAATTGCCCCTCTGTAGAAGTGTAAGCTGAGCAAGGATGGCAATGCTGAGCGCCACAGACTGAGCCCTGGTATCTATCCCAACATAAAACCTGCGCCATTGCGTACCGGCAGGACAACAGACTGTTGGATGCGGAAATTCACAAAGTGTGCTAAGTGTGAGATAGACTTGGGTAGAATATCAGTGGGGAAGAACAGAAGAGGCCTGTGTCCGCGAGCCAGATGATACCTGTTATCATTTTCAGGGCGCTCTATCTAAGGCGTATACGATGGCGACGGCGATTTTGCGGGCGACTTGATGATGCTGCGTAGAAATACCGGCACGCGAAGGCGGGTGCGATTGGGAAACTGGAAACGTTCGGTGTCGAGCGGTGACGACAGCATGTGCGGTAATGCTAAGGATTCGATACTGAATTTTTTGGTGTGATCACCTGCAGCTGGGCGGTAAGAGAATTCGTGTCAAACCAGTACACAATGAAGTGCAATACTGGGCACTCATGGCCCCGCACGCTGGAAGAGCAGATGCATCTCAGAATGAAACGTACTGGGCATGCGTTACATATCGAAGATCGCAAGAGTCGCCCTCGGCCTTGCTCTAAAGCCGACAACTCCGGTTGTACGAATCATGTGCTGTGATGTGCGAACAAGCTTCGTTGAACGGACAAACTATACCCAATCAGCATGTAGAATGCCAACGAAATATACCGGTGGTAGCGCATTCGTTAACAGTACGTGTTCATGCTGCTGATTACTACACGGGTATGATCGCTCGATATATGCTACCGCCTCCAATAAGAGAACGGTATCAAATGCGCTTGAATGCTTGCGACAGCGACGCGTCGTGACCCAGGACTTCGGTACACGACTGCAAAGCATTGCGGAGGTTTTGCAAATATTGGGGTAGACTGAATAGAGTGCGACGTCACTACAACCTGTGGGTATGGGCCATCACCATGTATAAGACGAGAAGCCCATCTGCCAGTAAGTAGATATCAAAGCACAATCCGACCTACAACATGGGAGAAAGCTTGAACAACCGCGCCGTTTGGCTCTCTTCTTTCTCTTCTCCTTCGGAAGTCGTTTCTCTACCCATACCCACTGCGACTCAAGGCTCAGCGGTCATCCGCATTGAAGCAACGTTTCTGACCCCGTACACGGATGCCGTACATAGTGGCAAGCTCGCTGCCCTTCATCTCAAGCCACCATTCGTTCCAAACCCAGGGGCCGTTGGCCGCATTCACACCGTTGGGTCGGATTCTGTGAAAATGAAGCCAGGAGATCTGGTCTACGTCGATCCAACGGTTCGCGCCAGAGACGACCAAAAAGTCATCATCATGCAGGGTCATCATGGGGGCGATGATACGGATGCGCACCAGAAGTTGATGCATGAATGGCGTGATGGATCACTGCAACAATTTCAAAAGGTGCCGTTGGAAAACTGCTTTTTGCTAAATGAGCAACGTCTCTTGGGCGAGTTAACGTACACTTCTGCGGATCTCACTCTCCTCCCTGTGTACATGGTAGCGGCCGGTGCACTTATCGAGGCAGCAAATATCAAGGCTGGTGAGACCGTCGTCATTGGACCTTCGGGCGGTTCGTTTGGTGGCGCTGCTGTGGAAGTCGCGCTGGCGCTCGGCGCCAATGTCATCGCGTTGGGAAGAAACAAGCAGAAATTGGAAGACATGAAACTCGCTCTTGGGAGTCCGGATCGCCTACAGCACGTGGTGATGACGGGGAACGTAGAAAGCGATGCCATTGCGATCAAAGGGGTCGCTCCTGAAGATGGTGTCGATGTCTACAATGATTGGACGCCTGGGAAGTTCACAACACCACTGTATCTCTCGGCGGCGTCGCATGCCCTCAAAGGTGGTGGGAGAGTCGTTTTGAGCGGTGGCGCAGGCGGGGATCTTGTGCTGCCACATCTTGTTATGGTTCACAAGAACTTGCAGGTGACGGGAAGGTGGATGTACCAACCCGCTACAGCACAACTGGTCATCAACATGGTGACAGCTGGATTCTTGGAGATTGGGAAAAGAAATGGTGCTGAGGTCGCCACCTTCAGCCTCGATGCACACCATGTGGCCATCGAGAACGCTGCAAAGAACGGAGGTTGGGGTAACTTCACCGTGGTCACTCCGCATGCAAAGTAGACGTCACTCTATTAAGGAGTCAGCAGTTGCGTATAGTTAACGTAAATCTCCCGAAGTGTCAATGGTTGCGCATCGTCTTACAAACAGTGCTTGTGTGATTATGGTGAGAAAGCGGACAAGCGGACTCCGACTCGCCTGCATATTCCCCGAAGCTGAAACGCAAGCGAATAGACACGATGACGGCGACGATCAATGCCACACACTGGTTGGTTCCGGCTGATAGTGGTCAGTAAAGGATGCAGGCGCCACTCGCCATGCGACTCCTGTGAGTACAGACGTGATGGTGGTAGGCGCAGAACAGCAGGTTGTGGACGACTGGTCCCCTTAAGGCTGCAATCGCCTTTGCCTCACCACGACTGTCGTTCGCTACCACGTCGCTCTTTGCCAACTGTACGATCATGTTTGTCTCTACTGGGCAATGGCTATTGTTTGCGCATGTCTTCGCGCTGGGTGCCGTTGCGCATCGGGACTGGTGGCTGCAAGGCCTGCCCAAATGTTGGCAGGACTGCTTAGGCAACACAGAAGCGGGTTGCGGCTATAGGAAATGTGAGTCGGTGCCTTTATCGCTCCACTGCGGCATGGACTGATGGTTGTGCAGGTATATGTCAGACAAGCGAAAGCAGCGCCTCTTACCTCCCCAGCGCCGTCGCGTGCGCCGTCACCAACTGCGATGCAGACGACTGGGCTCTCGAACTCGTCCTCGGCCCGCTAGAACTGTATTGCGATGCGATAGGCTGTACGATACCGGCAGAGGTGGTGGATGATGCATATGATGCCGTCTCGAGTAGCTACGTGCCGCCATCGACCACGCGTGCCCCTCCTACGACGACCGCCGCTGCACCGAAGCCGACCACCACCACCAGCGAAAGCGACGACGATGACAGCGATGGCTTCACAAGCCCAGTTAGCACAACTATAACCCGGACGACCACCGATGGCGACGGCAACACATTGCAGATAGTCGTACCCATAGTAGTGAACCCAACCGGCATCAGTACAGGCAGCATTGTCACGTCTACCGTTGCTGGTGCGTCGCCAACGTCTGCGGTGTCATTGCGCAGCGAAACTGCCCAGCCTTCCGCTCCGGCGCCGACAGCGGGAGCCTCATCGACCGCATCTCCACCTTCATTGGCGACGGGGTCGGGGTCGGATGAGCCAGATCCTCCGGCCAACGGCGATGGAAGCCCTTTCGTGAACATGCAAGCGGGTGCAGGAAGATGGGCGGTGTCGATACCACTTATGGCAATGGGTGCTTTCGCCGTGTTGTGGATGCGCTTATAGCGGGCGATCATCTGTGGTAACGGAGGCGTGCCTGTGGCTTCGCTCGAGGCCGAGGTTTGTAGGGCAAGGGTCATTGATCTCGCGTTGGTGAGCGGTGGGCGATCATCCGCAAGCAATATTTGCTTCCTTCCCGGAATGTACGAATGGTCATGATCTCTCCGCGTTATGGGCGTTCTGAGTAGGCGATGATGACCTGGGTATTGCAGTGTTTACTCTTCCCAGTGAGAGAAGGCGGCAACGACGAAGAATTGCACAAGAGCAACCGCGACCACGATACATTCCTGTACGATACACACACATGACGTACGTTGGACTATGAAATGATATTACGTCACCCTCGTAGATGAGACTTTGGAAGACCATAACGTTAAAACCTCGTGGCTGCACTTCCAAGAGGCACCCGATCGCCAAAGTTGCCAGCGTTTGGTTCACACACATCATCCCACCGCTTCGGTACTGCAACCAATCGAGATAGACCCAATGCTAAGTCGCACTACGCATGCGTTGCATAACATTGTTTCTGACACGCTGCACCTTCTTAAGCACCATCATCAACTTTTGCGATCGCATTCGTCCTCGGCATCCAATTCCATCTCGTGTATTCAGTGGCTTTGCATGTGCTTCCAGCCTCAAGCTCGGCCGACCTTATAGTTCCTCCGTGCACCGACGTGAAAAGCTCCGACACGGCGACTACCCGAAACGGCAACAACAAATCACCGTGCTTGAATTTCACGACAACGACCGAGGCATCTTTCTCTCCAAGCACCAAAGTGGTCCCAACGCGTCAAGGAGGTAGCATTCGGGGCGCGCGAAAGGATTTGCTCTGTTTCAGTGCGTCATTATGCGAACGACGTGGCATGACTTAATTATTCTGATTCATTATAGATAGAACGAGCTCTCCCGACATCCCAACAACACATACATCTTCAGCAATCCACGAACATTCATATACCGTGGTCCTTTTCGTTTCTAATTCCTTTCTACTGCTGTAATTTACATCACAATGGCGAATCTTGAGCCCATACCCGGCCCACCTGGTCTGCCCATTGTTGGCAACATTGGAGACATCGACGCAACAAACCCCACACAATCCATGTGCAATTTGACATTGAAATATGGTGAACTGGCCCCCCGACACGCACGGAGAAAGCAGACGGCTAACGAGTGTAGGCCCTATATGGAAATTCTATCTCGGCGGCGAGCGTGTCGTCATCGCGAACCAAGCTCACCTTAACGAGATCTGCGATGAGGAACGATTCTCAAAGATCATAGCAGCATCACTCGAACAAGTCCGGAATGGCGTTCACGATGGCCTGTTCACATCGTACGGACCACAAGAGGAGAATTGGGGTATTGCACACCGTGTCTTGCTTCCACAACTAGGACCGCTAGCCATTCGCAACATGTTCAACGAGATGCACGACATTGCGTCTCAACTCGTGATGAAGTGGGCAAGACATGGTCCTGAGCATGTTATTCACGTTACGGACGACTTCACACGCCTGACTCTCGATACCATCGCTCTCTGCGCCATGGACTACCGGTTCAACTCGTATTACCAGCAAAAGATGCACCCGTTCGTTGAGTCAATGGCCGACTTCCTCAAGACCAGTGGAGACCGTGCGAGGAGGGATCCCATCTCGCAGATGTTTTATGGCGCCGAGTCGCAAAAGTATTGGAGGGACATTGAGCTGCTCCGCAAAACCAGTATGGATGTAATCAAGACGAGGAGAGACAATCCGACCGACAAGAAAGATCTACTCAACGGCATGCTGAACGGTGTTGATTCTAAGACTGGCAAGAAAATGACGGTAAGTTAAACACGATTACTGGGACTGAGTACACACTAACATCAACAGGATGAGAGTGTCATCGACAATATGATCACGTTCCTGATTGCTGGACACGAGACGACTTCCGGCTTGCTTTCTTTCACTTTCTACTACCTGCTGAAAAACCCTCAAGCATATGAGAAGGCACAACAAGAAGTAGATGATGTTATTGGTAAAGGTCCAATTACTGTCGAACACTTGACGAAGCTTCCATATCTGAATGCTGTACTACGTGAGTCTCTTCGTCTTCAGCCTACGGCGCCCGCAGTGGGTATGACGGCCAAGGAAGACACTACGATCGGAGGAAAGTATGCGGTCAAGGCAGGCACGCCACTCGTTGCACTATTTCCCATGGTTCACCGCGATCCAGTCGCATATGGCGAGGACGCCGAGGAGTTCCGCCCCGAGCGAATGCTTGACGCAGAGTTTGAAAAGCGCAACACCGAATTTCCCAACTGCTGGAAGCCATTCGGCAACGGCATGCGAGCCTGCATTGGAAGGCCGTTCGCCTGGCAAGAAGCCCTCTTGGTGCTTGCCATTCTCCTACAGAACTTCAACTTCACCATGGAGGATGCCTCGTACCAGCTTCAGATTAAGCAGACACTTACGATTAAGCCCAAGGACTTTTACATGCGCGCGCATCTCCGAAGTGGCATCTCTGCCACATCGCTCGAACGCAAATTAGCGTCGGCTACTCTCAACGAGCCTCCACCAGCGAGTGGGGCACCACGTGTGCAGAAGGAAAAAGTTGCTAAAGGCAAGCCTATGGCCATCTATTACGGGTCCAACACGGGAACATGCGAAGCGCTCGCCAACCGACTTGCCAGTGACGCCGCAAACCATGGCTTCAACGCGGCAGTCGTCGACACCCTGGACGCTGTACGCGAGAACTTGCCGACCGACAAGCCGATCGTCATTGTCACTGCCTCATACGAGGGAGCGCCTGCCGACAATGCCGCACACTTTGTCAATTGGGTTGGCACCTTGAAGGGCAAGGAGCTGGAGAACGTCAACTATGCGGTCTTCGGATGTGGTCACCGTGATTGGGCAAAGACCTTCCACAAGGTACCAAAATATCTTGACGCTACCCTCGAAGAGCGTGGCGCAACCAAGATGGTTCAATGGGGCAGCACTGATGCTGCCTCTGGAGATATCTTCACCGACTTCGAGACCTGGGAAGACCAAGTACTGTGGCCAGCCATGCGCGAGAAGTATGGATCAACAGAGGCCGACGGCGAAGGCTCGCTGGAGACTACGCTTGACGTCGAGGTTACAGCACCGAGGTCGTCGACTTTGCGTCAAGATGTCCGCGAGGCTCGTGTAGAGGAAGTTGAAGTTCTTTCTAATGAAGATGCTTCAGAGAAGAGGCACATCGAGATCAGCCTTCCATCAGGCATGACCTACTCCGCAGGAGACTACCTGGCTATCCTACCATTGAACCCCAAAGAGAACGTCCAACGCGCGATGCGATACTTTGGCTTGACTTGGGATTCGATGCTGACTATCTCATCGGCTGGCCCTACTACTCTGCCGACGGATACACCTCTTAGCGCTGTTGATGTCTTGGGTGCATATGTAGAACTCGCCCAACCCGCCAGCAAGCGCAACGTCGTTGCACTGGCTGAAGCCACACCCGATGAAGCGGAGAAGAAGCAGCTCGAGCGACTCGCCGACGAGACCTTCAGCGCCGAGATTACTGCAAAACGCGTCTCCGTTCTCGATCTCCTCGAGCGCTTCCCATCTACGAAGCTGCCACTCGGCGTCTTCCTAAAGATACAGCCACCCATGCGTGTGCGCCAATACTCGATATCCTCGTCGCCGTTATGGAATCCCAATAACGTCACCCTCACATACTCTGTTGTCAGCGCGCCAGCCCTCAGTGGCCAGGGTCGGTACGTGGGCGTGGCAACAAACTACCTTGCCAACCTTGCGGCAGGCGACAGGTTGCACGTCAGCGTGCGCCCCTCACACCAAGCCTTCCACCTGCCAAAGGACTCAAAGAACGTCCCGGTCATCATGATGGCAGCAGGAACCGGTCTGGCGCCCTTCCGCGGCTTCATCCAAGAGCGCGCTGCTCAGGTCGCTGCCGGTCGCAAGCTAGCACCCGCCATACTCTTCTATGGTTGCCGGACACCATCCAACGATCTCATGTACGCCGATCTTCTCAAGCGCTGGGAAGACATGGGTGCCGTCTCAGTCCGTTATGCCTTCTCACGCAAATCGGAGGAGTCGCATGGCTGTAAGTACGTGCAAGATCGTGTCTATCACGACCGCGCCGATGTCATTGAACAGTTTGAAGCGGGCGCAAAGCTCTTCGTTTGCGGATCACGAGGTGTTGGTGATGGGGTGCAGGAGACGCTTATCAAGATTGCGAAGGAGAGGTTGAAGGAGAAGGAGGGCCGGGACGCCGACGATGCCAAGGCTAGAGAGTGGTTTGAGGGGCTGCGAAACGAGAGGTTCGCTACCGACGTCTTCGAGTAGACGTAGAAAATCACTATCTAGCTTGTTTGTTACCCATGTTGCCTACTAGCTCAATATCCACGTCTATCGAGCCATACCCTAACGAATTACCGAATCGCCAAACTCTGGCAGAATTTTGTAACTCTGGTAGAATTGTCAACGGCGGCGGAGAAACCTTACCGCCATGATGCCAAGGAGTAACCAAGGTTAGGCTTGCGCGCACGTTCTGCGGGATTGCCCCGCCGATGGCCCACGGGCGCCCAGCCCAGCCCACACACCAGACCTGAGACCCTGAATTACCCGATTGCTCGAATACCACCGAACAAGACACCTTGGTCAAGTTGGGCATGCAACAACGAAGCATTGCAACTCCGCATGAGGCATACATGCGGCCAAATATCGACGTCCCCACTGATGATGTTGACCACGTCGTGCTGCGTGCTCTGCCGGTGTCGCAGCTTCGTCCAACCGCTGCATCTCCTTCCCCTTGCGGCGCGACTTTAGACGGGCTGTCAATGGGGCGGTCAGATCTCGATAGGTCTTCCTCCAATGCCTGGGCCGCCTTGGACTTGCTGAGCCCCATACAAGATCGTCAGGGCCCACGGGGCTTCGTGTTATCTGTTCCCGATGCGGTTACGGTGCGGCTCATCTCTTGGACCCTGAAGGAACTTTGGAACAATGAAAGTGCGAGTGCGATACCAACCAAGTCTCGCAACACCTCTCGCAGCTTGCGATCAGCTCAATGGCCTGTAGTCATGGATACTACATGCTTGTCCTCGTGCTTATGGTCTCTTTCCGGCATTCCTGCCTCTTCCCCTTGCCTCACCGCAACGTGTTCATCCTAGACTGCTAGTGCCGACTGTGCGCCGACGTTGAAATCTCGGTTAGAGACCCACTGTTTCCATGGACGCGAGGCGGTGTCTTGTACACACGGTTTTCTTTGCGACGTTGAAACGTAGGTCGAGTGCATTGAGCTTAGGCTGGTGTACATCAAGGAGCAGATTTTTCGCCTTCCACCCGGACGCGTCTTGGTACAAAAGGATGAGTAGCGACACGGCACGCTCTGCACGCTCCTCCCTCCCTTCTCACCTCCTTGGACCATGATTACAACAACGTCCCGCACACAGGCAGCGCCTGTAAAGACTAGGTTCACTGCTGTGGCCGACGATGTCAAGCCAACTCCGATTCCAGACGTCAAGACCCTAAAGGACGCTATTCCAGCAAAGTGCTTCGAGCGCTCCATGATCCGCTCCTTTTCCTACGTTGTTCGCGATCTTATCATCGTAAGCGGACTCTTTTACTCTGCCGTCCGGCTTTCGCAACTTGACGCCTCGCCCCTTATCACGGTCCCGCTTTGGGCGCTCTACAGCTTTGTACAGGGATGCTTCTTTACCGGCCTCTGGATTCTCGCCCACGACTGTGGCCATGATTCGTTTTCTGACAACCTTACCGTCAACGCTGTGACTGGCTGGTTCCTCCACAGCATTTTGATGGTGCCGTTCTTTAGCTGGAAGTTCAGCCACGCACGTCATCATCGCTACCACAACCACATGGAAAAGGACACTGTTTTCGTCCCTCACCGAAAGTCTGATGCCATGGCCAGGACCACCGAGCCATCCATCATGGAGAAGATCATGGACCACGCCGCTGCCGACACACCACTCATCCAAGTCGGCGCTCTTATCTTCCACCAAGTGCTTGGCTGGCCTGCTTACATCTTGATGAACGCCGGTGCCGGACCGAAGAGTCTGACCAAGAGCGACCGGGCTTCCCAGTCAAAGTACAAACAAAGCCATTTGGACCCGACTTCACCCGTATTCACTCCTTCTGAGGCACCATTTGTCGCCCTGAGCAACGTTGGACTTATTCTCACCATGAGCGCCATCTACCTTGCCTCGAGGAGCGTCGGCACATCGACTGCTCTCTTGGCATACGGTCTCCCTTACCTCTGGATGAACCACTGGATTGTCGCTATTACCTACCTTCACCACACACACGAGGACGCACCTCACTACGAGGCCGAAAACTGGACCTTCATCAAGGGCGCTGCTTCCACTGTTGACCGCGACTTTGGTTTCATTGGTCGCCACATCTTCCACGGTATCATTGAGTACCACGTCGTCCACCATATGTTCCCACGCATTCCCTTCTACCACGCAGAGGAAGCCACATGGGCTATTGCTCCTCTTCTCGGCGAACGCTACATCCAGCAAAAGAGCAACTTCTTTGTCGATCTATGGCAGAGCTTCACTACCTGCAGGTATGTTGAAGAGGGTACTGGCAAGAACGCTGGAGGCTTGGTTTGGGCGAAGAACTAGCTTTGAAAGAGCCTTCAGTTCCGATGTTTTACGATTAGATTTCCTTTAGACATAGATCAATGCCTTCCCATTGTAGAATCTAGACCAAAACTACAACGTCACATACTGCGTGCAAGTCCTTTGCGCTGAACCCTGTCGTGAAACGAATCGACCCGGCTGGAATGGTCCAAGTCTTACTGTCGACATCCCAGAAACTAACGTCTCGCCTCATCAAGTTGAACGTCACGGCTTGCGTCTCACCTGGCAGGAGATGCACCTTTTCGAAACCTCTCAAGACTTTCACGGGCGTGCCTGCAGGAGTTGTATCCTGAGGAAGGGACAGATATAGCTGTGGTACAGCAGAGCCAGCCCGGCCACCGTTATTCGTGATGTTCACCGTAGCCACAGCGACCACGGTCCAGAGATCCCTGAGTCCACCCGGTGCGATTCCTTTCGACTTATCAGGGACAGGCGTCAAAGGCATACCACGAAGCTCGACATTCAACTCATGACTCATTACAAAACTGGTATACGAAAGTCCAAATCCGAACTCGTAGTGCGGCTCCAAGTCGTCATTCGCGTCGAAGCGACGATAGTCAATCAATTGACCTTCGACGTAATCTGCCTGCCAGGCATCTGGATCAGTGACATTGCGAGGCAATTCCACAATGGGTGGACCGTAATCCGCTGCAGCCTTTGGAATCGAGTACGGAAGACGACCAGATGGTTGTACGTCGCCCCAGAGGACATCAGTAATAGAGTTCCCGGTCTCCTCTCCTGGGTAATGTGCTGCTAGAATAGCCGTTACGTTCTCGTTGTCAGCCCAAGGCATCAACACAACACCAGGGCCATGTGTGACGACGACAGTGTTGGGACACAACTTTGCTGTACTCTCCACCGCAAGGGTAGCATTCCAATGGAAGTCCAGATCGGACCGATCTGAACCTTCTGTTGCGAAAGCCTTGAGGAAGATCAAGCAGACTTGCGGTACCGGGTAAATCGAACGAAACCTTCCATCCGCGATCTCGTCATTGTCGAAGAGCCATTGAACGCGCCCACCTAAAGACCGGACCTTGTTTCGGATGGCTTCAAGTGGACTAACGAGGTTCGTGTGTCGTACCGTTCCAGATCCACCGCCAATATCGAGTGTTCCCATTGGGTAGCCCATTGCAGCGTTACCGTAGTTGAGAAACACTGAACCAATAGTCGGATCGGGAAGATCGTTACCAAAGACACCAAAGCTTGTTTCGTTCGAAAATGGCAAAGTCTTGTTCAAGTTCTTGAGTAACACAGTGCCAGCCGCACCCAACTCACGTATGCCTTTTGCGTGATCGCCACGAACGTCTCGAGCAGGGGTCTCGGGGAAAGATGCGGCCAAGGGCGATTGGTGGCCATAGGTGTAAGTGAGGAAGACAGGTCCGCTGGCAGGATCAGTGACAGGGAAGTCTTCGTCTTGAATCAGCCGAAAGTATGGCGTCATGACTCTTGTCGCCATATCGTCAAGGCGAGCGGATGAGATGTTGCCTGCTTCGATCGCATCAGCGAGTGATTCGCCAAAGTAGTAGATTCCAGTGGGACTCGTGGTTCCAGGCATCTCCATGTCTAATCCTGCATTTACTGTTCCAACCGTCGAATGCGTAGCGTCCCAGTCAGAAACGACGTATCCTGGAAAGGCGAGTTCGTCTTTGAGGATGTTATTTAGTATTTCCTGATTGGCGCAAGCATAAGTGCTGTTGACACGATTGTAACCACACATGACGGATGTTGTCCCTGCATGGACAGCATTGGCGAACGGCCAGATGTATAACTCATGGAGTGTACGGTCGTCAATGTTGGCAGATACCGCCTCTATTACTGTTCCATCTTCCCGGGTAGAACGGGTACGTTGGGTTTCTTGTTCGTTACCGATGTAGTGCTTTGAGGAGGTCTGCACACCGGCTCCCTGGATTCCGAATATGGATTCGTTCATTGCGACACCCGCAAGGTAGGGATCTGGTCCGAAGCCCTCCCAATTGCGTCCACTTCGAGCGTGGCGACCCATTGGGCCAGCAGCCGGACTGTGACATACAAGTTAACATCGCGTGTATGTGGTGCATGCAGATTTGCTTACCCAAGATGAACATGCGCACCTTTGGCTCTGAATCCTTGTCCAATGGCAAGTCCACGTTCGTACATCAGTCGCCTATCCCATGTAGCTGCAACTGTGATACCAGAAGCAAACACACTGACGCCGTCCGAACGCGACAAACCAGCGGGGCCATCGGACAGGCACAAGCCAGTGTAGTTGAGTCGCTCGATTGCCACAAGCGTGCCTACACATGGTAGGGATGGAGAGGAGCCATAACTACCAGTGACGAGGCCGATCTTCTCGGTGGTGTTAAGCTGAGAAACAAAATGGGTGGCTTTTACTGTCGCTTCAGTCCAAGCTATGAGATTGATCAGCTACCACCAATCTTGAAACACCTGTGCTTGACTATTCGGGTAGCTTACAAAGAGGGATTCGAATAGACGCATCCGCAGCCCATACAGAATATATAGGTAATGACGTGGAAAGTAGTGTTACGACCTTGGCGACACGCATATTGCTGGGCCGCGTGGGACGTGAGGGTCAGAAATGGTGTCGTAAAGATTCAAGAATGCTCTTACCACTATTAAACACCACAGCAGCACAGCCCTGCCTATTGGGATTCTTATAGTCGTTCGGACTGCTGTAAGCGAAGCTGCACGCAAGGGAATATTGCTGATACGTCGTATTCTGAGCCCCATGACTATTGCCATACATATCAGGCCTCCTCGGGAAGACTCAAAGGCACTCTCCACGCTCATGAATACGCCGTGTTTCGAATACGATGGGAAGGTATGGTGATTGGCCCGAGTATGTGCCGGACAATAGCGTTAGTAACACTAATCGCTAGGTGAACGTTAGCTATACGCGTATGGCGGGGTATACGAGCGGCGGCCTACGCGACTACACCCACAACACTGCATTCATCTGAATAGTCATGATGATGTCGATCTGATCTACTGTTCAAACTTCTAAGTTGTCGCATACGCAAATTGCTGCGCAAAAAGGTGATACGCGGCGTTTCCTTGGAGAAAGCATGGAGGGAGGGCTTGCTTGCAGAAAAGGGTTCGCATAAAGCCGATCTTTGCAGTAGATCAGTTGTTATTAGGAAATCACTCGAAACGCTGCACTCGCTTCGATGTCATTGTTTGTTCGGCAAAGGTGTGAGATCACATTGTGCATTGCAGGGTCGAATGAGCAGGACCGGCTATCAGCCAAGTTCAGCTTGCAGTGTATGCGATAACTTCATCGATTGGAAGTATGACTATATCCTGCAACAGAGATGTCCTAAAGATTGATCCCGGGTATAAGCTTGAGCATTTAAGACGTCTCTCCACCCTTCTTTCCAGCCTCGACGGGGTCGACCTTGCCGTGAGCGAACTCGCCCTTGGCACTGCCGCCGGATCCTGAAGAGCCAGTGGAGGAGTCGGTGCTTCCAGTGCCGGATGTAGCACCACCCTGCTTTCCAGCCTCATGGGGATCAACCTTGCCCTGAGCAAACTCTGGGTCATATGTTAGCATGCGTGATTGCGGCCTTGAGAGATCGTGAAGACGTACCGCCAGTACCGACGCGCTTGTCTGGGGTGCCGTCCTGCTTGAGGCCTCCGTGCTCTGTTTGCTGATTAGCTCCTTGCGAAGCAGGCGTGTAGTTGTATTGCTCACCAGTGGGCTTGTACTGCTGGTCCGCCATATTGATGTATGTTTGATTGAAGTGGGGAGTGGTTGGTTGAAATTGTAGTTGTTGATGAGAGTAGATTGATGCTTGATGACCACAGAATGTGCTTTCACACGGGATACTTATACATCAATGGTTGGCCCTGACAGATTTATCAAGACGTCAGTACACATCATAAGATGGCAACGCGTCGTGGCACACCTCACGCGTCCATCTCGCGTACACGTTAGATCTCAGATGCATCGTGGACGGCCCGCGCGCTAAGGCGCAGGAACATGATGCAATCCAGTCTAAAAATCTCGTGGATCCTTCCAAGCCGTGTCAGCCCATGCCTTCCGAGGCAGGTAATGATGCAGAATCAACAGCACCATGGGGATTTCGGAGATCGCGATGGAGACCCCTAGACTGAATCAGGGTCTTGATGTCATGATATAATCGCAAACGTCGCGCCTTTGCACTAGTCAGTCCAGGAACACCAATCATTCGGCAACACTATGGGTCGATCGTGCATTGCATATCCGCTTATGCAGGTGGTGGAAAAGCAAGGGGAAATGCCGCGAGTGCGGGGAAAGATCAATGACGGATGCTGAAGCAACATGCGTGCTGAGGATACGTCTCTCTGGACGTTGCATGCCACATGCGTAAGAGGCTAAACACAACGAAATCGTCGGGTTGTCATCAGTCGCGTTCAGGATGGATCGACGTAAGTGTAAGGATTGCTTTTCGCGAAGGAATGCATCATGCGCGTCGATACGACTGCGTGCAGGCCAAGAAGCGAGGGTCAGATGGTAAACGGCGATGATCATGGGCCCTGGTAATATTTTGCCTTATGCAAAACCACTCTTGAAAGGAAGATCTGCCATTGATGGAGGCAGGCATATCGTGATGTAGTCCATATTCAGTTCTTTGGTCATCTTTGTTCGAGGGGAAGTCAAACGACGCGACATGCTCTCGTCGATGACGGACGCGTTTGACCACGTGCTCACGTGTGGAGAGTTCGTCATCGCTCCACCTCAGGTATATTCGGGGCGAGGTCGAATTCACGCCCAGTTCCGTATTCTCTTTAGTACAATAGCTGATGGTGCAGGCCTAGCAGCCTTGCTAAATACCTCTTTCCACAAACCTTCAAATGCACCTCTCAGATGCACAAACTCTTCCTGTCAAACGCAAACGGCGTAGTCAATCGTTTTCAGGAAAGTTTTCTCGGCTTCCAATATGCTCTGCTGATTGGCCTCGAGTAATCGCACCCAATGCTGCAGGTTCAACCATTTCCTGTCGTCAGCAAGAAACTTGTACGCGATGTGCGAAAGAGCAATGAGCGTGGCGTCATCAAGCTGTGTGGCTGAAACTGGGGTGGAGACGTAGCATGGGACGGGAGCTGAGACGCGCTCGCTTGCACACAGTACGTCATACTTCGCTATGGCTTCACGTGGGAATGTAGAAGCAAGAGCTACACGATATCGGAAAAGCAGACATAGCACAAGAGGGATGGTGTCTGGACTGGGATGAGTGGTATCAGGAAACATGATGACCAACTCGTTCAAGAGGCTCAATATGCGTTGACACATGGCACTTGTGGAATATTCGGGCTGAAAAGCCTCACTGTTCTGGTCAATCTGTGAGAGTTTGTCGCTACGCGTAGCTGTTTCGAGTGTAGACTTCACAATGGCGAGTGGTGCGTGCAATATGAATAGACTGAGACGAGCAAGAAAGGGCGCGGTTTACGGCTGATGTGGGCCGAGGGGTGGAAGGGCGTTGTGAGAAAACGTCGATGTGGTCATATCAGCCAGGACGCTGTTGCGGTGGTGGTTGAGGTCGTCAGTCGATCATGTCACCAACTCAGGGAATTAGTTCCTGGGGAGAGGCGGGTTAATATCAACAGCACATTTGCACAGCACTGTGAAACGAGAATGTAGTCGCGACTCCATGTAGCAGTGAAATGCATGTTGAAGGGCGTGTAAGCATATGATCTGCATCCATTATACTATGGCTATCACAACGGGTCGTAAAGGTGCTCGGTGCCATCCGCCATCCTTAGATGCGCGAGAAGAAGGTCTGACGGTGTGCACACCTAGCTTCTTACCAGTCCCACTTGCCCACCATCTTGATCTCAACAAGCTTTACCACGTGACACTGTCCAGTCACTACCACGAGCCCCGACACCGAGCATCAACACCCGTTACCGCATCGGCATCCGCAAGACTATATACCTCCTCAAGCAGCGCCACATACGTCTTTCCTCCCTTCTTCACCTTGCTCAACATGTCCGCCTGCTCCGCATTCCACTTGTTCCAGAGTGCATGGATCTTCTCGATCGCATCTCCAGCCTCCTGCCTCTCGGTCTTGGCTGTCTTGCGTTCGAGGTAGTTCATCTCCCAGGGCGAAGGCTTGTCTTCGTCGTCGAGGCAGCGGGGGCCGTCCCAACGCTTGCAGAGGTCGGCATGCTTGGCTTTGGCTGGGGGTGTTAGACAGGACCGGCCTGGAACAAGACAGAGGTGGAGGGGCTGTAGAAGGAGAATAGTATGGGCAGTAGAATAATTACCTTGCTCTAGACTTGCTTCGAATACAGATCTGCGGTGGTCGTTGTATGACCATTCTCTGGTTGCAACAGCGGACGTCGCGAAGAAGCTGAGGGCGGTGATGATGAGCGTGAACTTCATGGTGTAGTGTTGGTATCTTGGGAATACGAAAGAGTTCTTGGAAAGACGGTTTGTGGAGGGGTGGATGGAAAAAAGTTAGATGAAAACTCTGCCGACTGTAAATACGTTCTGTTCTTCTCTTCTTAAAATTTGTGGTTCAAGGTTTTCGTGGTACAGAGGCATGTATCCATGGGTGAGGGTCAAGCTTGGATGTGCAACCAATGGAGCAGCGGCAAATCGTAAGATCAGAACCATCATAACTTGAGGCATCCATACCGGTCGTTCAAAAACTCTGGATCAGGCCGGTCAAACAAGACTTGCTTTGGCTGCCACTGGGGAAGCCACCTTCACCGGGTCACAATCCAAGATCCGCTGTGAAGAATGTTGCGGTGTGACACTATATCTCTATCATCGTGGAGCGCAGCAACTACCCCTATGGTGGTTTAATGATTTGAGGCATTTTTTTTTTCAATGATGTTCAACTCTTCGTCGCGAAGTTGCCGGCCTGAGGATAGCATAATGCGGAAGCCACCCACAAGATTGCACATGATTATTGGATCCTCGACGTAGCACAGAACCCGCAAACTCAAAGTGGTTCTCTCGGTACCACAAACCCTCTAAGATACCACCCACGTGACTAACAAAACTCACCAAAACTAAACCAAGCCAACAATATGACCATCTATATCTCAAGAAGAGAGGATTCCGGTCATCACAGCAGCTCCGTACAGCGAATATGAAGTATCCACGAGATACACCTGCGTCAATTTTTCTATCCTAAGTCATCTAACCGCCATGTACTTCCCCCCTTTGCACATCACCCCCCCCCCCCCCTATAACAGCAATCTGTCCATCAAAAAGATTACAATTCTAGATAACCCAATACCACTCCAGCCAGTTCAAGCTCTCCATACCCTACATTTCCCCCTCCCTCCCATGTCACTGCTCACGGACACTTATTCTCAAGCTGAGGATCATTAAGATTCTCATTATGATCGCGCCACCCATCATGACCACCTCTAAACCTTCCATTATACCTTCCATCATCATTCGGATCGAGAACGCGGTTACAGCCACGACATCTATTGCCTTGGAGAAGGGTAAGTGGGTGTGTGCCGTGGTAATTAGTCAGACTAGAAGACAGGCATTCTGCATCAGCAATTGTGTTTCGCTTCTCGAGGGAAATAAACGCGGATATTAGTGTTACTTACCTTGTAGCCTTGACACAGGGCTTCACGGTGATCATGCGGCCATCGTACTCTGATATCCACGTTCGCCAGCCGTTGTTGTAGACGCGTGGATCGTCGCGTTCTTCCTTGTTGGAACGCGCAATAGTAGCCAGAGTGGTGGGGTCCACGGAGGGCGCTCTGGTCACCCTGGTGACGAGACGGCGCGCGCTGGTGGTTGCGCTTGCCGTCGAAGTTGGGGAGGTCGCACTGGAGGAGGGAAGAAGGAATGTAGCATCGGTCGTTTGTGCCTCGGTGACCATGCTGGGGTGATCATACCAGGCAAGGGCCGTGGAAGCCGTGGCCAAAATGGTGACGAGGACGCTGCGCATTGTCGTAATGGTTGGAGTTGAAGGTCCCTTGGTGTGGTGGATGGCTGGATGTTGGTGTAGATAGATAATGTATTCCTCTTCTTGGCTCAGAGAAGAACACTTGTGCAGTAGAGTCTAATGCAGAAGACGAAAAACGATGAACGGGAAGAAGATATTATATACAATACTCCAAAATTCCCAGAGAATGATTGAAATTTCTATCATAGTGACCTTGATTGCCGCACGTAGCAGACCATGGTTACGCTTCGCCAAAAGACATGGTCGCATGGCCCCTGAAGAATCCTGATTCGCAAGATTTCCAAGGCGTTGTAAATCTGTACCAATGCAAAGTCAAAAATGGCCGACGGAACTACGGATGAAAGCTACAACGCACGGGTATCGAATCAAAAACCTCCACTGCATCATTTACACTACTCACCAATGCCGCGCAATGACCAGCCACCCCCTCTCCTTGACCGCATTGAAGAGCACAGCAACTCTCTTCCGCTTAATGCCCTCTCTAGCCGACACATCTTCAATCGCATGCTTACCATCCAAATGCCTCAGCAGCATAGGCCAGCTCTCTCTCAGTTCCTTGCCCGTTATACCACCAAAGCCACCATCTGCATGTTTCGGTGGGCTCGGATTCGCGGATATCATCGCAGTCTCTTCAAAAGTCTGGGCAATCTTATCAAGCCACCTGGCCTCAATAGATGATGCTTTTTGTGGGGAAAGGATCGTGGTGTGGGTAAACAAAGCGGGGTCTGGTAGTGTAAGCTTCTCGACGGGAGATGTCGGTGAGACGATCGAGTTGCGGGATGGCGATGGCGATGGCGATGGCGAGGCGGGCTTGAGATGGAGCGGTGATGGACGATGGGGCTTTGCGTCTCGTAGCCCGAGATAAGTTGGTGACTCTGCTCGTTGCGATGGGTTGAGCGCGATGGTTGTGCGCTGACTACTCGTACTGCCGGCGTCAGACCCGGTGCGAGCAGAAGAGTTCCGTGACATGGCTGTCGACCCGAGACGCGGGCTCAGTATGGTGCTGCTATCCATGTCTTCATCCGCATCTCGCCGCGTGCGTCGCAAAGGGGACGAGGTCCTGACCGAGTTTAGAGAAAGCAAACTGCTTCGTTTGTCGGAGAGCAGACTGTCGGCTACTGAATCGTTGTCGCTCATCAACTCTCTGCGCGCCTCTTCGGCTTTCTTGATACGCTCTTCCCGCTCAATCTCGGCTGCCACTTGCGCTTTGATCTCAGGCGTTACCCGTACCCAGGCAAATGTGCGCAATTGTGTGACCCAGCCTCCACGCATGAGCCAAGCTAAAATCTCCATGTAGGCATCGCGATGTTCGGCGGTGGGTATAAAGGTTCTGTACGGTCGGGGCGTACCGGAAAGCATGCTCAGTACCTTAGGTAGCGTAGGCAACGTAGGGAAGCGCTGTGCGTAGACTGATATCGCGGCCGGGAGAACAGTCATATCGGCATTCGGACTGACGATGTAGGTGTCGCGTGGTGACAGAGGAGCGATAAGACGCGCGCGCCGCCAATAGACAAGATGACTCGCTATGTACTCCATATCATGCGCTGATATATTATGCTTCTTGGAGATCTTCAGTAGCGACTTGGTGGGTACGATGTTGCGTATGTAGAAGGCGATAGCCGCCGCATTCCCACCAGCGTCGCCGCCGAGGTCCTTGATCAGCACCTCGGCATCCTCCAGGAGCAACAGGGCGGCATGCTGCGTCATGGGTGCATCGTCGTCCTCTAGTATAACGTTCGAGGTCGTAAGCCATAGGCCTGGCATCTGAGGTTCGATGGCGGTGGGGAGGTATGGCGTGGAATCGGCTTGTGGGATCTGAAAGGATGTGTTGAAGGTCGCGTCGAAATGGATATGAGCTATCTTGTCGTGCGAGATGGCATCGAACATGATGGCGATGGACTTGGCAAGCGGTGATGTGCTGACAATCTTCTTCCACGTCGCCGTCAGAGACTCGTTGGTCTCCTTGGCCCGCTGCTTGATGTCAATGATGCGCTTGGATTCTTTCCAGACGTACTGAAACCGCGCCTCCTCGTACTTGAGTGCCTTTGCATACTTGCGCGTAACGTTATCGTACATCTCCTTGACGCGCTGCTGGTACTCGAGTGCAGGCGGATTCAGCACGAAGACGACGTTGAACATGGTCATGTCGGGGTTGTTGTTGTCGTGGCTCGTCGAGTTGCTCCGCGCGTCGGATCCAGCCTCTGAGGGAGCGCCTGAGGGTCCGCTGGACATGGAACCATGGCCGTAGCCTGGCTCGAATCCCTCGGGCATTCTGAACGGCTCCGGGACGGGTTTCGCAGGCGCTTCGGGGGAGTCGGCGTCATCGTCATCGCTGGCACTTGTGAGATTCTTCATCAGATCGCCATCTTCAAGTCTTTGCTTGTCCGATCGCTTCTTCCTTTTCCGCTTCGCCTTCTTCCAGAGCCCGTCTTCCCGGACGAACATGGGCGCGCCCAGAAAGACGATGCTCTCGACGCCCAGCTCGAATCGCTTCTTGTTGTACTCCTTGCTGGGGCTCAGCATCTTCTCCAGCGCATCCGTCTTGAAGCCGAGCACCGTGCCCCAGTCGTGATCTCCGCCCTTGCCCCGACTTCCAGTAGCTTCCTTGTCATCGTCGTCATCTGCATCCTCCTCATCAATCGTCTCCTGCCTGCCCCATAGCCCTGACCCCAGCTTGTCCTTGTCGCTCACCCGCCCAGTCAAGGTTCTTCCCGATCGACGGCCGCCACTAGTGCGACTGCCTAATTCGATGTCGTTTTCATCGTCCGAGTCGGTGCTGCTGTCCCAGTCGCTATCTGAGCTTCGCGAGTCAACGCTGGCCGTGGACGTGTCGTGACGGAACCAGGCTGGGTCTTTGGCCGCGGCAAGGGCGGCTGCTGACGGCGATAGCGGCGGATAGTGGAAGACAAGGCGAGGACCGAGCGACCGCGATTTGGTGACGAGGAGGATGGCGTGGAGGTTCGAGGCAGGTGGCAGTGGGACGGCCATTGGGTGCATGGAGGACGCGCAGACGCACATGCGGGGAGAGAGCTCGGGAAGCTGCGGAGCGCCGGGAGATCTAGCCCAAAGCAGAATAGACCCTCATCTGTGAAGAAACAAAGTCATCCTAGGCGATGATTCCAAGAACACAATCTGACCATAAGGGTTGATGACAATGTTAACCAGCTCTAATGGCGGCTAGAATGCGGTGCGAATTCCCAAAGCAGAACACTGCCTGGGGCCTTCTGTGAGGGCACAGCGTGGACTCATTCACTCACAGTGCAGCGATCGACTGTCTACCCAGTGTATCCCAAGTACTAAAGTCTACTCTCACCTACTGGTAATTCAATGACAGAAGATGTATGGCATGGCAGGTATGGCTTCCGCACTCGAATATACTCCGCGCTCAAGCCCAGGCAGAGTGCCCACCGCGGATATCACTCAATACTTTCTCGGAGACGAGTTGACCAAACTAGCAAGCTTCATCAGTGGCGCTCCCCCTAATCTCTTACACGACATCATGTCCGCCACGTCGGAAACTAAGCTCAGGATACTCCTGGCCAAGTTCAGCCCTATGGATCCACGAATCCAACCCAGCGTGTCTATGCAAGCCACATGCGCACGCATCACACGCTGGCTGGAAACCAGCAGTGAAATCTACGCGATAAGCAAGGACGTCACTCCCTACGCCTTGTTCCTCTTCCTCAAGGTCAGAATCCTAAACAGTTTTACAAATAAACTCCCTACGCACATCGAGACGGCCAGATTTGGCGTCGCTGTCAAGATTGCGTATGGCAATCTGTGCGACGGCACAATGTGGCCTGAAACACTAGAATCTCTTGTAGGTATGCCATTCGACTATATCCAATTCGTCGAGCTCGAGTTTCTGAAAGACTTGGACTGGAAGTCTTGGGTGCGCGAGCTTGACTTTACAGAATTTTTTGAGAGATTCAAGATCGTGTGGGATGTATTGCTTGACTATGACGACGAGACCTTTTGAACCATAGCATTCTCTCCTGCCTGGAGGAAGACCCGCGGTCCAGGAAAGGATTCTCTTCGAACGCAGATCATTTCACGACCTCTCAATGTTAACCAAAATCCTTGTCACATGGCAGTAAACAGGGTCTACTCGGTAGTATGTCAGAGTCAAACAAAAATTATTACCTTGTCGTTGTCACATTATCGATGATTTGGAGCTGACCTCAATTTTGAAGCTTTGCTATCTTAGTGGTCCTTCTGTTGTCAATTCTACTCTCATATTGTCTGGCCTCAGCCGAATAAAATGTCACTTGAAGTCGCTCGCGCCTGTCAAGATCTCAACTCCATCTCTTCAGCGATCTTGGTATAATTGCAAAAGGTGCGACCTCCTGGAAGTTATAGAAAGTCACCCAAGTTTAATGCACCGCCAGTCGCTGCTCATACATACTGGGGTTACCGTCCTCTGAGTGTTCACCACTTCTGTTCCTTCAAGTATCTAGCCCTGCGCGACTTGGCAGCATCTCTCCGCCGCCAGAACCGCGTCAATCCACGCCAGACTCGTTGCCGCCTGCACAAAGTTAACCTACTGCAACCTTACGCCAATGATGTGTACGGGCAGACTCACATCAGGACCAAGACCATAGTGCCCGTCACTGGTATGCAGAGCCACCAGAAGTATGCATCGCTGTTCTTCAGACACGGCATGTCTTCGAAGTTCATGCCGAAGTAGCCCACCAAGAAGGTCATTGGCAAGAACAGGATTGTGACAAAGGTCAACTGCTTCATGCTTTCGTTCTGGTATGCTCCCATCGTGTTGAAGATCAGGTTGATCATGCGGTCTGCAGAGCGCCGCATGCGCTCAAGAGACTCTGTGACGGTGATACAGTGGTCCTCTACGTCGCCGAAGTAAGTGTGTGCGAGTGTTGTGATAGTGATGGAGGCTGTCGACGGATCCTTGGGCGTGTACGGAGGTGGAGAGTTGGCGATGTGAGACGATGAGGGTCCTTGAGAGGAGTTGGTCGTCTGCATCAGAGCGTTCGAGTTGTGTTGGCGGAGGGCGTTGACGAGACTGGTGATCGGAGCGATTTGGGATCGAAGGAGTGAGAGCTCTGATGTGAGGATGTACCTGGGAGTGTGAGTGGTCTGTCATCATCGCAACGCGTGGAAAGACTCACAGAGCCTTTGAATGTGCAATACTGGGGTCCGTCAGGACGTCCAGCTCCAGCTCGGCTATGCTGTCCTCATATGCTGCAGCAATCGGAATGGCAAGGTCAACAATTCCATCGATAATTGCGTGCATAACCATACTGGCATCGCCGCTTTGCCTCAGAACCGTCTCTGGTGATGACAGTCGCTTTAAGATAGGCTCTTCAATTACGTCGGCAGAGTGCTCAAAGAACGATACCAACGTGTTATTACTCTGCAGGAACATCGACACCTGTTCCACAGAGACCATGAGGCCTTTGGGGTTCAGCGTAGAATGCTCCTCCATGTAGCGTGTCCGTTCAGGATCTGCATCAGTACGATACGCTTGCAATGTCTTCACAGCTTGTCGGTACTCCGCAGGTACGTGCTTTTCCCGGTAAGCTGGGCTGTTCGTGCTGACGTGTCTTGGAGGTGCTCGTGATTGCCCGTCTGTAACTCCTTCGTTTTTGCGGAGCAGCCGCTGCAGAGTCAAAAGAACTGTCTACCAGTCAATATACACTCTCAAGCCTCCGCAGACTTGAGAAACATACCAAAGACATGTTCAGGGTACCAGTCTGCCTTGGTTCGATTCCTTGTGTGTAGCAGGTCTTCGATAGCTAGGCTGTGTAGCTTTTGCTTCTTGCCTAGAAGGCGAACCACATCCCAGCTAAGTCCGTTGACTGTAGGTCGAGTCAGATCAGCCTGCTGCTTTGACGAAACCACATCGCCGGCTCCTTACCGTTGATCCATCGACAAGTCACCCAGTCTTCTCGGGGCTTCTCAAGGAACTCTTGAAGCATCTCATTGTTGAGCTCGTATTTCTCGATCCTGTCGGCAGAGAAGTCGACAGCTGTAATCTGTGATTGCACCTTCTGACGCCATTGAGGCCATGCATCCTCGTTTCTGATATCGATGCCAGGCTCACTTCCTGCTGTTGGTTCGCGTGGAGCTGCTACGCTAATGCATCTTGAGTTGCGTTTCAGGGACTGAAAACTATCCTTCGTCCTCTCCCGGAGTGATGGTCTTGACGGAGATGGTTCCGTCAACACCGAATGTTGCCGTGTTGATGGAAAACGCTGGGTCGCAAACGCGCTCGCTCTTTGGGCTTCTGACGTCAGCCGCGAGAACCGCGTCGCCGTGGACCCTGCGACGCTGTGCAAGCGTGGTACGGTGAACATCGCAACCTTCCTCCACAACATCACACCTCTCTGATAGCAAGAATTGAAGCAAGGAACTGCGGGCTGAGCAGGGGTGACGATAGCTTGTGTTGATGATCACCTCGGTAAAACAAGGCAAGCGCGCCGATGACGATGCATCGACGAGAGAACACGTGGGTCCGAGCAACCAACTCCCTACTCCTAATTAACTCTGCTTCGTGCAATAGCCATATTTGGCAAATCAATACCATGACTGTGGACTACACTGTCAAGAACAGCAATATGATGGATATGACTGTGACTGAGCGGATTGGGGTTAGCGCTGAATACAATACAGCCGCCTTCTGCTCACCTAATCTCCGTGTAAGCGCATAAGGCTAAGTCCAATTAGGTTATAGTAGATGCTCTTAGACCCAGATAAATTCGGGATGCATTCGAGTTGATTCAAAAAGCCTTCGACATGTCCCAGTATGATTTTTCCATACTACGCTGCTCCGTCACTGCCCCGAGGCCTGCTCTTCGAGCTGCGGTCGCGCTGCAACATGGATATGAAAGCAGCACCCTTCGAGATGCGATAATAAGAACGACGAGGGCAAAAGCAGGAACAATGTAATCTTTCAGCCGCACTCGCAGAATACGAAACGAAAGGCTTAAAGAAGAACATGCCACCAAGCAGAAATCTAACGCAGCGTGGTGACAGGAGCCAGATGTAGAAGAGTCGCCTTCGTTCCCGCACAGGGTGTTTTCCGATACCCAGGGAAGGACGTTAGGTAGATTCTACAAAAGCGAATCAATAGTGAAGATGAGCGACTCTAGTCAGTTCGTGAGTAATCTTGCAGTCTTTTGATATACTCGTTATAGATATCGAGTAAATGTATTGAATGAGCGTGAATAGTTAAAATTGACTCTGGAAAACAACTTGCAACTAGACGTATCCTCCAATTGGTAACACCAGCTCAGGGTGGCTGAGCCATGTGGTCAGTGAAGACGAAGGGGGAGTGAACTCCCTTGCCGTCTACAGTGACCAGCGGAAGGTCTTTTATGGGAACGCAAGATAGAAGGCAGAACAAAAGGCGAAGTCGAAGGAAACCACAAAACTTAGGATCCCTGCATCATGGAGCGGGCTTTGACTGGCCACAGTGTTAACCGCACACAGAGCATCCTAGAATTCTTATATCAGCTACAGCTCAATGGAAGTGAAGAAGCCACACTCTTTCGAGGCTGAGATCTCACGGGAAAACTTACCTGTTGCAGTTCCGATACAGTCAGCCTGCCCGGATGTACCGCTGCAGCTCATTTTCTGCAGGCACGCAGCATAGCCGAACTCGCAAATTCCTTCATCGCCGAGGTATTGACAAGGACTGAAGGGATCAGGGCAAGATCCCTGGATGCAATCGAGCTTGTCGTTCTCCAAATAACAGTCTGAGCACGGTAATCTCGTCAGAAAGGCTTCCTCGTTTTGAGCTCTCCGGATCTAGAGCACTTACATCCGTGAAACATGCCACCATTGGCATCAGTCGAGTAAGCGCACAACGCTCCATCACCGAGGTTTCTAGACCCGTCTCTTTCGGCGCAAGCCTCGTGGACCTTGTGGACTGTAATCGTGTCAGTGATGTAATCAACCGAAGCTTCCTCGAAGTAGCAACCCACCGCCATTAAGGTCGTCGCGCCATGCGTTGTTGGCAACCCATGCTCCACTGGCATCCTGAGTCCAGGGAAGTGCCCCGACGGTGGCCAAGGTCACAGCCAAGACAGCAAGATTGATGATTTGCATGTTGACTGGTCTTGTCTTCAGTCTCGAGATATGGAATGGATAGAACCCGTTGAGCGTCGTAGCTAAGTAAGAACAGGATAGTAAGCTAAGGAATGCAGTTGTTACTCTTCTTAGTACAATCAACAGTATTCACGACGGGAAAGAGTATCTTTATACGTCCAGCTGAAGGATCGGGAGCCTTCCTGAGCCCATGCATTCGGTCTTGATAATACCTGATGACGTTAAGTTCCATTAGTATTTTGACCCTAGCCCTTAACGATCCTTTTATCAAGCGATGTAGTCAGCCAGCTTGCTGACGCTGGGAAATATGATCTGTGCGAGTTGTTAGTTTCTCTAAGTAAATACCTATTCCGTGTGGCTTTATGAGGGAAATGGATACTCGCCGTCTGCTAGTAAGCTTGTCGCACAGAGTGGACCTTGCATGATAGCGGCTTGCCAATTGAGGAGCCAAGATATCAATCGGACATCATGCCGTGGGAACAAGGCACAGTCGTGAACCGGAACGGTCCCTGCTTCTGGACAATACAAAGGGAGCAACAACTACGTGGGGTGCTACGCCAAGTAAGCCCTATCCAACCTCTAGCACAGTAATCACTCGAATCCTCGGTCTCCGGCTACCTCCATAAGCTGCTCTAGGATCTCCAGGGCGGACAAGCCCCGTGCACCGCCGCGTTCCGAGGGCGTACATATGTGTTAGAAAGTAGTTACTATTACGAATTGATTACTATCATCGCTCGATTCTCATCCTCCTAATATTAGTCTCCATTACGATCTGATCTCTAACTGTATTAGTATCTCTTACTTCTACTTCTGTTGGCCTAGTACGCCCTCTTGGCCCGATACGCCCTCTTGGCCTAATACGCCCTCTTGGCGCAATACGCCTTCTTTGCCTAACCGAGAGGACGGCCTTAATTCGATTCGGATCAAGCAATTTTTAGTAGTAATAATAAGAAGCGCCTCATACCATCCATGACTGACTTTCCAGCCTACATCTTGAGGGTCGTTGTAGAAGGCATGAGGAAGCCTGTGTACCCGTCCCAGTCGGAACACGGATGTCTACGATGACATCCACAGGAGAAGGCGACGCCGACTCCCGCGACCTCATCGAGACCACCGTTGCAAGGGTCCGCCCTCAAGTGATGGAGGTTGTAGCCAGGTGTTCCCGTCTCTTGCATACGAACCAACCAACGAGTTTAACATCACTTTGAAGCGCCCCAGCGTCTACTTGGCTCCGTAATCAGCTTCCGTTACTCCCCAACCTGAATACTGCGGTGAGGCGCCGATCGGTGCAAAATGTACAAGCTTTCCCGAGACATCAACATTTCCTGATACATGTGGCCTTGCATGCTGGTGGGAGTTCTCAAGTGTCACAAATCGCCAAGTTTTGTGTCCAGATACCCAATGCTTCAAGCTCCCACGACAGACATGTTGAGATAAAGTGTTAGGTGAGTGATGCAGTCGCGGATTTATGCTGATCATCCTGATAAACATACGTACGATGAAATGTGTGGTTATTTTACAACAGGGGTGGCAAATCTTCATTAGAAATAGCGGCTTTGTAGGCAGTGGGCGTAGCATGATGTCCGTCGTAGAATCAAGGAGGTTATATTGCGCCTTAAGGCAAGAGGCAGGCGTAGCAGCTGTCTTAATAGCGATTCAAGCTAGCTCTGCCTCAATAACACTTTCCACAGAGTGAGGTGGCCTCCAGATGTTAAGCACCTTCAATCCCGCACTCTCCACCAGCCCCCGCCACTCAGCCTCCGTCCTCTCCTTCGCACCAAGGCACGCCATCATGGTGATATCGGACGTTGTCACACGAGCGAGCGGCTTCACAGAGCTGACCAAGCTTTCGTGGATGAGAAGCTTTGAGTATCCAAGTTCCATAGCTTCAGCAAGGTGAGAAAGGATCTGCTTCGCCTGTGTGTCTTCCCAGTCGTGCAGCACGTTGTGCATGAAGTAGACACGGGCACCTTTCACGGGCTGTGGTTCAAAAAAGTCATGAGGGTGGATGGAGATGGTGTCGTCAATAGTCAACTCCTTGAGAATATCGGGCAGGTCTTGAAGCACTAGACTGCCCTCGGGGATATCAGGGTGGCGCAGATGGAACTTGATCAGGTCGTGGCCCTTGCTACCACCGACATCGACGACTAGGGGCCGGTCAGGCTTGGATCCTTTTACAAGAGTCTCAGTTGGGTAAACATCAACCCAGGGCGTCAGGTTATGCTTGGAGTGGCTCTCCATGGCATCATTGAATTCCCTTGCGGCGGTAGGGTTTGCGCCAAGGGACTGGAACAGATTTTCATTTGAGCCTCTCATGAACTGCCAGTTGCCGTCGTTGGGGTTAGTAGGGACTTTGTATCCCGTCTTCTTGAGGTAGGCAGGCAAAGTCCTGAACATAGGGGAATTGACGAAGCCATAGAATTCACCATAGACATTGGCGAGGGCCTGATCCTCAGCGAGAGCGCGTATCCACGGTGTAGGCTCATAGGTGTCCTCGGCGGTCTCGATGGCAAGATTCTGCCCAGATATTTGCCGAATCATACGTCCTGCATCGCCGTCAGAATGCTCATCTTGAGTTAAGCGAAGCAGATATGTAACCTACGAACAAGCACTACATCGGCATCCGCTAACTCGGCCAGTTCCGCGCAAGTCTTCTGCCCTCCTCCTGTCTCGATCCATTTGCTGAAGACACCCGCGTCAATCAACGTCTTGACGCATGCATTGGTGGCCGGGTTGACCCAACAGTGCTGCCAAACGATGTCCCACGGCTTTTGTACTTTGCTCAGGGCCAGCGTCAGCGCGTCCATGGCACGGACGCGCTCTGCTTCGTTAACGAAGGACTTCGCATCGAGGCCCTCCAGGGCTCCGATAAGTTGGTCTGCTGATGCCATGTTGGAAATGGGAATTAACTTTTGGGGAAAGATGCAGGAACAACGGAAACGACACGCGGTCTACTACTTGACAAAGGGAAATGTTCTTATCTACCGTAGGATTCTGACCATGTCTACCGGTTGACTAGAGGGTTTCCAATACTATAGTAGTTAGTAGATTTCTTGTAACAGATAAGCGCATACTAAGGTCCATTTTTCTTGAATGTACTTTTCCTGATACGTAATTCGTCCTCAGCGACCCTATATAATCGGAATGGCCAAACTTCTTAGGGATCGTCTGGTCACTCGGCTATTTGATACAGTGATTGGTCTTTGATTTCATTGAATAAATCCGCACGATTTGATGCCATGCGGTCTGAATTGGTGAGCACTGATCAGTTGAGGACACGGTATCCGAAATTTAAGTGAGCAAGGGTACCTCAGGGGCAGACCCACCTGTTCGGCCCCCCGCGTACTTCTCACGCCACTTTCGGCATGTCGTGCTTGGCATGCAGCCCCCAGACTCGTACGAGCGACCTTGACAGGACCTACTGGTTGGTATCTATTGTAGTAAATGAACCTTGGTGTTGCTGAAAAGTCTGTATTAAGGACTTGAAATAAGGTTTTCACTCAGGGAACGTGAGACTTCTTGTAGAAACATGAAATTCAATGCTGCCTTAGGTTCCTGTTCAAGTCGCATTCTTTCACAGTTCTTCACCTTGATAACATTACCTCAACAACGTTTCAACAACACCAAAGCTTGCCTAATCACATCATCACCACGATGCTGCTGCCTTATCGCGCGTGTAGATGTCTAGAGGAAGTACTGCCCCCCACGTTGACACCAAGCTAAGTGTCACGATCGCCAATTGGCTTCGCCCGTCGGTCACCCTTTGCGCTCGTGGTCACCTCAAACTCAAGTGTCTTGTGGATCTGATCCGCGCCGTGGTAAACAAGCGGAATGTCGTCGATGCTTTCACCTGCGTGGCTCGATGTCCTCTCCTCGTCACCCAATTGATGGCCTTGGAGTTTATCCCATCTCCCGTTGGTGCTAGATAGGCCTCGGTGGGTGGCGCTGCTGCGTCCTCCCTGGCTGATGGTCTTACTGCCACTGAGAGTCCGTACTTTGCCTCTGGCCAAGCGGAAGAGCGGGCCCAGCGTGGGCAAAGAGGAGCATACCACGAGAATGCAACCCTCTCCTAGACCGAGTATATCGAGAAGCGGAACCGGGTCTAACAAAGTTAGTTCTGTGCTGAGAAACGTGCGGAGTGAACGACTCACAAGTCGGGTTCTTAGCCAGTACTACAAAAATCTCCCCAAAGATTGTCAGTTTGTAGATGGTGAGGATGAAGGCCAGGATACTAAGGCCCAGCGCGATCGAGACCAGGATGCGGTTCTTGAGTGGCATGTTGAGGCGCATAATGAATGGGATCGGGTACAGAGCGAAGAATACATCTAGGAAGGCAGAGTAGGCCGAAGTGAAATAGCCCAAATCTGACATGACCTTGGTACTGGCACATTTTCCGCCCGGTATGGTTCTGTCCCAGCCAAATTCAACCGGATCGCATTGCTTGTACCACCAGATCGAGGTAGCCAATATACAGGCCTGGGAGCTGAGCGCGAGGCCCCAGAATAGTATCGTCGTTTTGAGGCCGTAGTCCAGAATGCGCTTGAGAATAGCGATGATGGCGAACTTGGGTAGCGAAAATGTCCATATCAGTACCGAACTGATGATTACATTCCACTTGAGAGCTCGCGGTATCAATGGAGGATCGATGGCCTCCATTCTTCGTCCAAGACCGTACTGGGTGCCGATTGTGATCAGGATACAGGTGACGAGCATCACAACGACGCAGAATACGGTGATATAGTCGTCCATACCAAGGCCGCCGCCTTTGCTGGATATGCGAGTGCCGACTCTCAACGCCACGAAGGCTACAAGACAATTAGCTGCCATTCAGCGCAACATAAGAGGGCTACTCGCCAGCTGTGACTGCGAACATAGACCAGCAAGCCCTATCAGCGATGGTGCCATAGTCTTCCACGTCCCACAATCCCATGATGTTGACGATCAGTGTTGCAAAGGTTTGCAGAACATGAGACGAACGTTAGACCCTCCTGGTGCGATAA